GGCGCGGCGGCGGCGGCGGTGGCGGCGGCGGCGGTTTAGGGTTTTTAGGCGGAAGCGGACGTAACCTAGCGTGATACCATGTAAGACAATAGGCTTTGGGGGAACCGGCACAACCCTCTAGGGGTGGCCTATCACATATATATATAATGAGGTGGTATACAACGTTACAATATACACATGTAAATACAGTCTAACAACTTCTCACACATCCATGTCACGGGCTAACAGTTTTAGATTCGGAATGAACGCCCAGCTTGGCAAGCTCAAAGGATCTACAGTCGTGGACAGCAAAATCCAACCCCTCAGACACCCGTGGACGCGCCCGGGTGCGTCCGCATCCAATGATCTGGCACAATCTCAAATATTTTCCTCTGCATCCGGATACCTTATACTAAAAACCTTAGATCTGCAAAAACATGCAAATGAGAAAATTCACGTACTATGTAGATCGAGTAATCTATACTACCCTAATCCTCGTCGGACTGATCACGGACCACATAGCCCCAGCACCCAGCCAAAGTTACAAGTAACCCTGGTGTTCTGCTCAACACAACTATTGAAGTATTGAATGGATCCTTCTTAGCCAAGGAAACGGCCCGACCTTCTGGATTTTTCTGGATGGGAACTTCGCTGCTGTGAAAACATCTTTTTAATGGGTGCGAAATTCTGTTTCTGTGATGGAGAATGGCGCGCGCGTGGCGGGCACCACGTGGTTGGCAACATCCAAGATGATGGGTTGCTTGGCTTCACACCAAAGTTTAGCAATTTTAGTTTTTTTGGGGGGGAGGGGGGTCTGTTTGGTTGATAGTGACACGAGTCATAGCGCATGGTTGATTGATTATGACAGAGCGTTGTGGTTGTGTTGGCTTGTCATTTCGGGATCTACTGTTCCAGAGGGCGTAACTTGGGGTGTTGCTTTATATATAAATTGGGACGAATGCATGTTTCTAGGGATTGATTATGACAGCTACCTGCGCGCACTCACACCGACCACAAGATCAATGACATTTCCTCTCTCTTTTTTATCGATTGAGTGGTACGAGTAGTTTTTGGAACATCACGAGACAAACCTAAGAAAATGGCGCAGGAGTAATTATCTTCAACTAATAATGCTAGTAATGGAGTACTATTTTTTATGGTAACACATGTTTCATTTACATTTGTGTTATAAGAATCATATAGGATCTTATTACAAACAACATACATAACGACATCACAAAACTGAAAAGACAGCATAACACTAGAGAAACACCGGCTGAGAAGTAAAACAACGAGCAAGACCGAAGAATTTCTCTGAGCTTGACACCAAGCCTTGTTACCTTCCTCTGGCACCATCACAGCAGGCACCAGAGAAAAAAATTATGAATTACCTTACATCGGAGCTCGATACGGCTCCATCGCTGATATGCTAATGGAGCACCCTCCTTCAGGAATTACTTGTCGAGAAATATATGTAGCTAAATGTATTTTAGTACTAGATACATCCAATTTTTTTATCTATTTCCACTATAAGTAATTTCCAACGGTTGGGGAGTTATTGATTCTCTTTTTGGTTTGTGATTTTCCATTTTAATGTCGGTTTTGTACGACGCTGGACGGGACGGTTCCACTTTTTCACAGCAAACGTCACCTTCTTTCCACATTCTTCCTTCTCCGCTCCCCACGCCGATGCCGCTGACGCGCCTCCTCCTCCTTCCTCCTCCTGTCCAGCATAAATATACCCGACGGCCTCACCGTCCCCATTCCCTTCCTCTATAATGCCCCATCCCGCTCCCCCACGACACGCAGTGCCATCTTCTTTGCTCACTCTGCGCAGGCCAAGTAATCTTTCTGGTAAGTGCGCCCTGAGTTCTATCCACTCGAATCTCTATCCCACCCACCCACCTCGCGAATCCTCGCTCGCCGCCGGCGCTGCCCTTTCCACCGGGTGCCGCCGCGTGCCCTTGGGCCTGTAATGCACTAGTAGGAAAAAGCTTATACACAGAGACTTATCAGTAGCGCTTGTTAAAACAAAGCGCTACTGCTAAGTAACAGTAGCGCGGGGCGAAACAGCACGCTACTGCTACCCAAATAGCAGTACCGCTTTTCTCATAAAACACGCTGGTACTATGATTGTTCTAACCGTTGTTGCCAGGCTTGGTATAGTAGTAGCGCCGTTCTAAAAACCACGCTACTGCTAACAAAATAGTAGCAGCGTGTTTTAAGGCGACACTGCTGCAATTAACAAAAGGAAAAGAAAAAAAGTAAGTAAAAAAAGGAAAATTAAATACAAAGAAAAAAATGAAAGCAATACCAGCGGCGCGTTTTCACCAAAGCGTTATAGCTACTTTAGCTATAGCGCGTTTTCACTAACAAGCGCTATAGCTAACTTATCTATAGCAGCAACGCGTTCTTCCAAAAGTGCTACTACTAAGTTTGACTTGCCCCTGCACGGGCGTCCATCCTTCCCCCAATTCCCCATTCTTCTCGCATCTCCCCAGCCTCTCCCCCATACCTGCCGACGAGCAAAAATGGCCGAGAGGTTTCCAGGCGACGGCGCGGCAGCGAACGGCTTTGGCCGCCGCCATCTCCAAGAGCCGGAGGCACGCCTCCTCTACGAGGCCGAGTATCCGGCGCCCCGGACATGCGTGTTCCGGGGGCGTGGAGGCTGAGCGCCGGCGGCGTCCCGGTGCCACCGGTGCCCGAAGGGGCGGCACGGCGGGCTGAGATCGCCCATATCCGCTCGTCCTTGACGGAGGAACAACGGAACGAGCCGAGGTACGCGCCCGACAGCGAAACTTGTGGACGATGTACTTCGAGCGCCGCCGCGAAGAGCATATCGCCTCCATCAACGGCGTCATTCCCCGCGGCCGCCTCAATGCCGAAAGACGGCGCGGGTGGTGGGGCGTCCCAGGCCGCACCCTCGAGGCCGTCCTCGACCACATCAAGACCGACAACGTGTCGCGCCTCGCGGTCGTCCTTCTCTCGCCACCACGGCAGGTCCTGGACGCCGCGGCGAATGGAGCCGACGTCCTCGTCTTCGGGCTCCGGCTCGACGGCTCTCCGTCCCGTCAAGCCAGAGCCGGAGGAGACACTGCAGCGGCGCCCTCGTCATCAACGAGGGTGCCCGCCCCTTCCGGCGCTCCCTTCGCCTGGTCCAGCCGAAGCCCGAGCCGGGCCTGCTGCCCGTGAAGCCGGAGCACCTCGACATAGTGGCCCCCGACGATGAGGCCACCCTAAAATGGGCAAAGGAGGACTACGTCCCCGAGCAGGTGCGCCGCCAGCGTCAGGCATACGCGAAGCTGCAGGCCCGGTGCCGCGGGCGCGAGGAGGTCGGCGTCATCGTCCTCGGCAGTGACGAGGAGGACAAGGCCGGGCAGTCCAGTGCCCCGCATGTCGGCGACCCTGGGCAGGGGTGCAGCAGGGATGGCGGTGGCTCCGGCAGGGCGCGCGACGACGACACCCGTTTCTACAGGCTTCTCGGTATGTAGATGGCGGGCGGTGGGCGCGGCGCAGCGGCTAGTGCAGCATAGTTTGATGTAGTTTGCATGTTTTTACTTTTTTGTATAAATTTCAATAAAATTTCGTCGAGTTTGTACAAGTTTGCACGTAATTTCGTCGACCTCGCGCGATATTGGCGGCACCTGATGGGCGACGACTGGGAACGGAGTCGCCTCCACGTGCCAAACTTATGTCAATTTGCCCCTAGACGGTTTTTTTTTCCGCCGTCCTGGGAGGCTGAACGGCTGAAGATGCTGTTATAGAGGATAAAGAGTAGGATGGTAGAATCTGCTGGCGAAGAGGGGGACCGGCCGACGAGGAGCAGCGTGGTGGGCTGGCTGTGGACGGTGGCAAAGCCATCGAAGCCGGCTCTGCTGGACTTGGTTTTTCTCCCGCGAATAGCCAGACAAACAAAGTCGCTGAAGCTGCTGTTTTCAATATTGAATATCGAATTGCAATGAATGGACGGGATCTCTTGCTGGCATTCTGGGATCTGGACGGTGTTCTTTTCTTTTCTTTTCTTTCGGTCCACGACTTAATTTGTTGCATTTTTTTCTTTTCCTAGTTAACACTAGAGGAACACAATAGTGCCAGTAGTATTTTTTAATCTTACATGAGATTCTGTTTTGGCGCTGAAGAGCTGGCTTGGCTGGCTTCACACCCAAGTTATCATTATTACTCTTTTTGTGTGGCGCCTGGTTGGTTGATTACGACAGCTAATTGCATAGTGACATTTTTTCCCTGGAGTGCTACCAGTGCATTCTGGAACATCATGAGAGAAAAACGCACTCACACCGACCACGGGATGATACTAGTGACAATTTTTCTTTTCCTGGAGTGCTACGAGTAGAGTAGATTCTGGAACATCACGAACAAAAATAATAAATGGTGGAGGGACAATTACCTGCAAGTTGCCTCTAATAATAATATAATAATAATACTAAATGGGGTACTAATTGTGGGGAGTAAATAATTTTTCTTTTTTTTCCATGAAGATTTTCCATTTTTGTGCCGGTTTGGTACGTAGCACTGTAGCACGCTTGACGGGAGGGGACGGTTCCACTTTTCCGCTACCAAACGTCACCTTCTTCCCACCTTCCTTCTTCCATCCCTTCCCCACGCCGACGCCGCCGACGCGCCTCCTCCGCTCCGCTCCGGTCTACATATACCAGCGCCCTCGCCGTCCCCCATTTCCCTCCTCCCCAACCCGCCATTTCCCCTCCTCCCCGAGCGTCCTGCCTCTGCCGTCTCCGCGGAGTGCCATCTTCTCCGCTCCCTCCGCGCAGTCCAACCAATCTTTCTGGTAAGTACGCCCGAGCCCTCTCCACTCCAGTCTCTTCCCCGCCCGGCCGTTCTGTTTCCTCTCTCGCCGGCGACGCCCCCGGTTCTCCCGGGCGCGCTGGTGCTTGTAATGCGGCCCCGTAGATTCGGTATGGTTATAGATCCGCGCCCCCGCCCGCGGCGCTCCTGGTTGATTTGATTGATTGGGGACTGATTGTGCTGCAGATCGGCCGGTCGAAATGGGCCACGAGGGCACCAAGTACGGCGAGGACGGCCGCCCCACCTGCGACTGCCTCCTCTTCGGTACTACGTCCCTGTCTCTCTGCCCTCTGCTCTCTCCTCTCTGCTGCGGCCGAAACACAGCCTACCTCTTTCAGTTTCAGTGGATTTCACACCATCTTGCCCATGTCTGAAACTACATGCAATGGTTTGCCTTCTTTTGTTTCAGACCTTGATGACACGCTCTACCCGGTGGCCTCCGGCATCGGCCTGGACGTCATGAAGAACATCCAAGGTACGTACATACATAAGCCAAGCTCTGCTCGCTAGTTCTACTGAAAATCTGCACTAGCACATCAGTTTGCAGGGAGAGATGTCTGGATGCAGTTTTGCTCTGTCTATGGTATATGTGGCGTTGATGAGTTCTTGCTGCTGTCTCACTAATTGGCTTCCCGGTGCTCCAGAATACATGGTCGAGAAGCTCGGCATCGACAAGAGCGTCAGCCACGAGCTCTGCATCCTGCTGTACAAGCAGTACGGAACCACCATGGCCGGTCTGCGGGTGCGTATGATCTGAATCGACAGCAAAGACCGGTTCTTCTTCTGTTTGTTTCTGGTATTGACCATGTATGTCTTTTGTGATTTCTTTTGATGTAGGCTGTTGGGTACCAATTTGACTATGATGATTTCCACGGGTACTGCCTGCCTGCCGGCTTCTCTCCAAACTTGTTTCAGTGTTCTTTCTGTCCTGTAATTTCTGCAAAAAGAATGGAGTGCCATAGTCTGACTGTGTCATCTGTTCTGCAGCTTTGTTCATGGCAGGCTGGCCTACGAGAAGCTCAAGCCTGACCCAGTACTCAGGAACATCCTCCTGAGCTTACCAATCCGCAAACTCGTACGCGTCGCGAAAGCCCGAAACGTTTCATCAGGACCCAGGTGTTTGGATGCAACCATAACCATGTAATTTCTGTTGTGCTGCCAGGTGTTCACGAATGGTGACAGGCTGCATGCTTCGAGGGCCATGAAGAGGCTTGGGATCGAGGACTGCTTTGAGGGGGTTCTGTGCTTTGAGACATTGAACCCGCCATCGCCCACTCCTGTGCCATCCAACAAAGTCGAGATCTTCGATATAGTGAAGCACCTGGCTCATCCAGAGCCTGGGGTTGAGCTGCCAAGGTCACCAATCCTGTGCAAACCAAACATAGATGCAATGCTGCATGCCCTCAAGCTTGCCGACATCAATCCTCAGACTACTGTAAGCACCAAATAACTCAATGGTGTCATATTCAGAGATTCATAGGTACCTCATGTTGTGTGGTGTGCTAACTGGCTACGGAACACGTACCAGATATTTTTCGATGACAGCGTCAGGAACATCCAAGCTGGGAAGCAGATCGGAATGCACACTGTCCTGGTATGTAAAATCTCACTTGCTGCTATTTTGTACATGCGACTTTGGTTGATGATCGAGTTGCTAATGTGGTGAATGTGTGTTGAATCAATGTACCACCAGGTTGGAACTTCTGAAAGGATTAAAGGTGCTGACCATGCCTTGGAGAGCCTTCACAACATGAAGGAAGCATTTCCGGAACTGTGGGTGGAGGCTGTGAAGGATGAGGATGTCAGGAACTCGAGCAAAGTTGGAATCGAGACATCAGTGATCGCGTAAAATCCTCGTGAACTGACTCAAGTCTTCTTGGGTGAATGGGCACATGAGAGGAGCAGAGTCATTATCAGAGGCAATCTATGTATGCACGATCTGTTTGTCTGACAGTAGATGTACTGATTAGAACAAGAGAGTTGTTGTAATCGTTAAGGGGAAGTGATGTCACTTTCCTTTATGTTTTATTTTCGCCTGTAATAAGAAATAAATGTCCTGGACGTCGGTGTAATTCAGTTCAGGGGGCAATAGGCCTGCTATGCTAATACTGTTGAATTTACAGAGCATGCATGACATTGCCAATAGGGGTGCAAATAAGTCTGATTTTGAGTAATCTAGCCTAATCTTGATTGAGCTTGCATTATAAAATGAGCGAGCTTGATTTGGGCGCATGAGCTAAAAGTCTGAGTTGCAGAGTGGGCTCATAACTTGTAATGATGAAATGATCTTTGAATTGATCTCGAGCCACTCTTAATCCTACCAAGAGCCGCTGGGAGTGTATGGTCTGCCTATGCTTGGTTCCTGTTGGCTTCCTCTGATTGCAGCCTCTACCCTAACTCCAAAGAGTTGGTGGAGGCCGAGGCCGAAATTCTTGCGTACGACATGACGATCAAGGATATTGATGAACTGGAGATGGAGAACGAGGATTCCACCTCTGCCTCATTCGAGACTCAATGCGAGGAGCAGGAGTGGCTCATGGCTCGGGAGGAGAAGCTGTTCGAGGCTTCACAATAGTAGTACCGAGGCTTATGAACAACAGTACTAACGTGATCTATGGCGCCGCCACTACTTCAAGCACTATAACGATGTAGTGCTTGATGACATCGACGAACTCAACCTTGGGACGCGGAGACCAACTCGGACGACTCGTTGATAGAGAAGTCGTGCACGTCTCATCGGACGACGATGGCTATGCTTAATTATGTATATAGTAATAGTCTTTGTTTAGAGTGTCGGTCTTTTGTTAGAGCTATGTTTACGTCAACTAACTCAAATTAGTACGTGCGAACTATGATGGTTAAGATTGTTTAATCTTTTACTTTTGAGCTATATTATATATGATGGTTAAGGTTGTTTAGTCTTTTATTTTGTGCTATATTTTCTCAAAGGAAAGCGCTACTGCGAAGCATGGCTGAAACTGTAGTTTAATTATTGGTTTATGCAATTATGTGGATGATCATGACATTTAATTAGGAAAATTGCACCTTATTTTTAAACCCGACCCTTGCATTAATTTAATTTAAAAAATTCATACAAGCATTCGTTACAGCATTTGCCACGCAGGGCGGAACACTATTAATAAGAACAACATCAGACCCATTAGTAAAACTAAACTTCGTAATCTCATGGGCCATCATATTAGCCTGCCTGTTTATCTTGGAGGTTTTTAAATTCCTCGGCATCTTAGCGACAATCAGCGCTTCCTTGTTTAGGTCAGCAAGGGATGACATGTCAAGGCTATGTTTTCCAAGAACAGAAGCCACAAAACAACAACCAGTTTTCAAAATGATGGGCTTGTGAAGATGATACCGATATATAGGCCGAAGAGGGTCGCTCGAAGTTCCGCTTCCTTGATGCTATAGCAAGCTCCAATATAATCCCAAGAGGAAACGACAACTTCACCAGAATAGTTTTTGACAACCACCCCCACACTGCAGTGCTAATGGCCTCCATGAACCTTGCATCGACATTAATTTTGAAGAACTCCAAGGAGGGAGGCTGCCAAGAAACTAACTTCCTGTCCACAATATTTGTGGGTTGAACGCCATCAACCACCTCCTTACCTTTGTTACTCACCTCCACTTGCATGTTTGCATGACAAGATGAAAATGAATGCCAATAATTTTGTACAAACCTCACTGAGCCTGAGATGGATTCCTTTCCCTTACCAAATACCAAATCATTCCTCAATTGCCAAGCTCTTCAAAACATGAATATGGTTTGGTCCTGCACATACGAACTTAATTGATCAAATAATATAAGAAACCTGTCCGGCCTAGTACATTGGAAGATCTCTTCGGCCGGTAAATTCCACACCTCCCTCATAGCTATACACAACGCATGAGCCTTGGGACAAGTCACCAAAGCGTGAAGGATACACCCATCTTCAACACCACAAATCATGCACGTACCTAGGGTAGCTTGATGGTCTTTTACCCTATTAACTTGGACTGCCAAACTATTAGATGCAGCCCGCCAAGCAAATATTCTTTTTTAGGGACATTGGCCTTCCAAGTTATATTCCAGAACCTCCTTTCTCATTTACGGCTACACTAGAATTTTCCAAATCAGCCTCCGAGTCCTTAAGATTCAATGTCAGCTTATACGCACTCTTCACCGAAAACAAACCGCTCTTCTCATGGTGCCATGCAATATGATCTTCCTCGCCCAAAGACAGACTCCGTAGCTTTAAAATTTCCTTTGCATCATGAGGGTAGAACAAATGTCTGATCAGGTTCTCATCCCATTGTCGTGCAGTATGTACATTGCTGATAGTGAATCCATCTCGATAAGAATAGGGAGATCCGCATGCTGAATAGCGATAGATAAACCCTCAATGCATGCACTTATTTTTGCTTCAAGGGCATCCCAGCAATAGAAGAATTCCATGCATGATGAGTAAATAATATCACTGTGGGTATCTCGAAGTATCATGCCGGCTCCTGCTCTTCCATCCTCTGTCCAAGACACGTCAGTATTAAGCTTCATCCAACCAACAGGAGGAGGAAGCCACTTCACCGTAGAGCTTGTTGTTAACATTGCATGTGTTCATTTGACTTGCCGTTCATGGGATATCATCGCTTTTCATTTCTCGAGGTCACAATTGGATTCATGGGTGATTGCGACCAACGAGTCGAGGTAAGTAAGGATTGCACATTTAGATGATAGATCGTCCAGAACGGGCAATTGAGCTATCTTCAATGAACAATGAGAAATCAATAATTGTAACAAAATCTTTTACAAGATCAATGAGCTGATTTCTCTAAGAATGCATCTTTACTATAATTGATAGGCAAAACAATCCTAAGAAAATGAAGGGAACCTATATCCAATCTATATCAAGTATGCAACCAAGAACCAAAAAATAACTAAACAAAATCAAATGGAATCTGCAACAAATCTACATCACTTCCGTCATGTATAGGATTGGTGGGAAAAAAATACAAGAATGTGAAATATGGTGCGCGGTGGGTGTTTCCTTCGTCTGACAAAGTCTACAAGTGTAGGTGAGTGGCCCAAGTGGTATCCAGTGTGCAACCAGGACATGTTCGCTTCTGTGTCACATCCCGATGGTCTCATCACCATTTTTACCATTTCCCTAACGTAGAAAGTCTAGAAAGTCAAATCCGCGTGGTCCAGCTTTGAACAGATCTCAAAGCAACTTTGCTCCGATGGACGGCCAAGATACAAACCCGTTTGTGCTGGTACATATGCATTTTCATTCATATAAAATATTAAGTAAAATATTTTTTTATAATTATATTTTACAATATTTGGGAGGAAGTGGTGACATATTTAACTGAAAATTTTATGTATATTATTTAGACTTTTTTTCTGACTCATTTGTAGAACTCGAATAACTTATGAGGCAAGTACACATGGGCAGCCTGTGCAACCATAGGGTAATTCCATCACCAGATACCACTCTCAAACATCATTCTAAAAATGAATAACAGAAGTAGCCTTATTCAAAGTAAGGAACGAGAGACTTGGCTTTACGCAACCTTCCGATTTAATCTCATTAAAGAATTTCTTCGTAGTCTCCTGACACCATTCCATGAGGAAATATTTGTTCTTTGTCTGCTTATTCACCTCTTTTGTACAGTTTAGAAGTTCTTTCGAGACGCGGACATTTTTCAGGCTTTACTTGTTTTACACAAAAATAACTCTAAAAAAATGTCGTTAATTAGAAATAATGAAAGTGGTGGAATGAGACCTGAAGCAAAGAAGGCAGATAATGAGTGCAAGTAGTGTAGAGGCAACCATGACTACTTAGAATTAAGTACTATCACTTGTTTATATTAAACCTTTTTACTCCTCTATAATTGTTTTTCTTGACATATGGTCTCAAAAAAATATTTATGGTATTATGCATACTAAAATTAGCTAGAGAACCATATTATTAAAAAATAATTAGAAATATTTTTGTTATGATTCTAACTTCGGTTATTATAAGAAACTTGTGATGAGCTGGAAATGTATTTAGTTGTAAAATTTATTTTCGAACTAAGATTTTGTTTGAGATATTTCAAAATTCATAGTTTTACATAGATATAATTTTTCTTTCTTTGTAGACTATTTTACCATTTATATATGTTGGTGTATTTATTTGTGTTTGCATAGCCTTTAATATCTTTGCAGAGAGATCTACAAATGTTTATGATTGTCTACCTCGCCTCACGTGCAAGTAAATAGATAATCCTAGATAGTCTTCATAAGTGATGGGCATGTTTCTAGAAGCGACTTGTCTTTAAAAAGTTGGTGATGCTTGTTTCTTGTTTTTTCTTGTATTATAGAAAATCGCTAGTTGCACATCTGTGCTTTATACTTGGTTTCAAAACACAGCCATGCATTAATCAAGCTGTTGTTGGATGGTTAGAGGGACAATGGTATCTTCAGCCCATCAGGGTTCAAGTCCTGGTGCTCACATTATTTCGTACCTCCCTGTCTGCCCTGCTGCTTCTACTGAAAATATGTACTGGTACATCAGGTTGCAAGGAGAGATGTCAGATGCATGCTTGCTCTCTGTATGTGTGCATGGTATGGTGTTGATCAGCTCTTGCTGCTGCCTGACTAATTGGCTTGTCTGGTGGTTCAGAATACATGGTCGAGCTCGGCATCGACAAGAGCGTCAGCCTCGACCTCTGCATCCTTCTCTACAAGCAGTACGGAACCACCATGGCTGGGCTGCGGGTGTGTGTCATGTCGTTTCAATCCACACTCCGCGATATATATTTTAGACCCGTTCTTTCATTCGTTTCTACTCTTCTTACAGTGTTCCTCTGAAC